AACGCATATGAGGAATTCAAGACCATAATCACGGCAAAATCTAACACCGCCGCCGCTGCGAGGGCTAGACAAGGAGCACGGCAAAATATCGCAGACAAGTTAAATGCGTAAGTGTTGGGAAAATGTATAGGCTAATTTTAAGTGCCTCATCACCCCAATCAATCAGATTATATATCTTTAAATGTGCCTGCTGGCAGTAATGGAATGCATCATCCAATGAGATCTTATAGCGAAAATAATTATCTCAACTCTTTCAGAATAAGTGGAAACAAGCCCAAAGAGTATCTAATTGATACGAATTAATGAGGATCTACGTACTGTATGCCCTTATGTATCATGTACTATATATGTGTATATACATGTATGTGTAGATTACCATATAGAACTAGGAGTTTGAATATGTGTGTGAATCTGTGTATGGGCGGATCAATATGTATCTATGTATTATTACAGAATCAGAAATTCAATCAATTGAAGCAGTGAAAAGAAATTGTGTGTGATTCTCTCTATTCTTATCATGAGTCCACCTTAATCATTTTCTACAATAATGATATGCTGGTGTACTAATAACACTGTCATATAATTATGAGTGCTTTCAACCCCCATGTTGCAACCCAGCCATCAAGAGGACATGGGAGCAAGTAAAAACTAAGCACAAAAACATTACTCAGAATGGTGAGTCAATACAATATGTGCCATGGTAATGTAATGAACACATCCTGACGTTTATTAAGCGCCAAATAAACTTCACGAACAGCGCGGCATGCAGCGGCTTTCCCGATGTTCTCCGCATCGCCGACACTGTACAAAAATGTACCACTCGCAGAAAAGCGCAAGGCTGCATCCAGTCTGTGAGACAGTCGATGCTCGGCTGCGGCGTGTGGTGTTAAATGTATGGCTCGAGAAGGTCTTGTAAATAAATGATTCCTTGTCGGCAGAATCGATAGCACTCGTATAGGAAGTCATCATGATGTGATAACGAAGAACTCTCTCCCTACTCTCTCCCTATAAAACGCTAATCTAACTAATATCGCTCCTTCATCAATGGGATCTCTGAGGAAGGGAGCTGTACATTAATACAATAGAGGCTTCTTAGTTTGCTCAGCTGGTTTTAATGGATCACAGTGTGTCTCACTTTACATGCATTTCCGGAACTCCGGTATAACCCCCAGTACATGCGCAAGCGCATTAGACTACCGTATATGACAGGAGCTGCCATTTTTTCCAGGGGTGTGGCAAGCTTATCCAGCTACCTTCAGTTACACTGCGCTGTAGCAGTTTCAAGTTTATGGATGTGTTGCTATGGTGATTTTGCCAAACTTCGTGGAACCGAAAAGCCTCACTTATGTAATCTTATCCTGAAAATTATCCGGCTAACTCAGTTAGCCACGTACGAGGAACGGGGCCCTGGTAACATGGCTGGTTGTGTCTACACAACACCAGTCTTATCACAAAAAAACATATGGGTCAAGTACACTTGTCAAACTGTACGATGCAGGCCTATACACTTCCTGTTCTAAAAATAATTGATCCACTTAAGAGCAGGGTTGGTAATCTTGAGTAAGCTAGATTTCGAAATTATCCATGCAAAAAACCCAGCCCAGTGTTGCCAACTATTTTCCAACGAAAGTAGCTAGCAGCACTAGGACTTTTTTTGACAACAATAATTTCAAAAACTAACCAAAACCAAATAGACCGGTTACACAGGCTGTGGATATTTAGTGTGCACTTGAGCTTCACACACACACACACACACACACACAGCAGGGCCAGGTGCATAACATCCAGCAGGAGACTTGTTGAATACACATTTCATGACATGAAACATGAAACGTGTGTCAACGCCATCAGTCTGTTTCAAAAGCGTATGCGACAACCTCATGTGGACAATAGGTCATCTCTAGTCATTAAATCAACTACACTGTCTCTTAATAGCTTAGATACAACATTCAGCATATTCAGCTATGCCAATGGTGGCATCCCTGATCCCAAGTGATTGGCACTATCTACATACTGGGTGGTTTTGCAGAATTAATTTGCATGGTTAAGAATCACAGAGACATTTGTAGCACAAAGCCAGCTGTAGAAGATCATAAAATATCATTAATACTAATGTAGGAGCAAATTTAGCTCAATGGCATAATTTGTTGTGGACTAAGAAAAGCATTACATAACGCCAAGCAGAGTATAAATGTCACAGGCTAAATACCTTTTCTATCAATATTACTGTATAGCAATATTAACATATGCTACTGTATAGCAATAATAAAACTCAAAACAGTCGGTGCTAAAAATGTGCTTATGTAGACATAGGACAAATCCACATTCATTTTTTACACATACGTTATTATCTAAACTATAACAACTAAACACCGACACAGTAAACAAATACAAAAGACTTGGAAATTAGACTTGTGTGAACAAGGATATTCTTATAACTTCTCTCTCAAGCTCTCTTTTTGGCTAAAACCAGGGCCAGCCCTTTAAACGCAGGAGTCTGTACCTGACTTACTGAGTGACTGATGAAGTTACACCATTGGTTGGTGAAGTGTTGGAATTTCCTCAATGGCAGTTGCTCTTTCAAAATAAATAGTGTTTGTCCTTTATGTCCCTCAACTACAGAGGGTACCAGGCCTTTATTTGAGGCAGGTCTATATTAGAGATGGGCCTCTATTTATAACTAATTTGTTTGATCAGTATTTTTGGTCTTATTTCAGTATGAAGCTTCCTTTTTTTCCTGATCTGCTACCGTATACCCTGTCGAATTTTTGTTACGGCATTATACAATTAAGACAAACTCATCCCTTCTTTATCTGTTTCAAACTAAAGCCCTGTAGAGTTCCAGGGGACAGGATCCTTTCATTCCCTAAAATGGCTTTTCTTGTGAAAAGACGAACCATGTGAAAATTTCGGTGACTTGCGCGGTTCCTGTACAGTACTTCAAATGTATCTATTGCCATCTTGTGACACTTGTATGTTACTACAAAACACAATTTGGCTGGGACATTAACACACATTCATTCACAGTGAAAAACAAAAAGGACAATAACTGAATAGATGACTTAAACCATGAGTCCTGCAGAATATATACGGTCTTCCTTGATTTTGGAGATGCATTCGGGACTCTAACTCACAATCCGGACAAAGTTGTCACTTATTTGGTGACAGCAATGTGCTTTCCTACGCTGTGAGTATGTGGATGAAGCATTATTAAATTGTACTGATTTAACAGCTGGCTAGTTAGCTTCCTAACTACCTACCTACCTACCTACCTATCAGAAAATAAGCCCAACAGCGGGTTGATGGCCAACATCATCGCTGGGTCTACGGTCCCTCTCCCACTGGCGAAGCGGTGTGCCGGCGGGGTAGGGGTCGCCAAAAATGGTCGAATTGGTCAATGTTAACTTTCTTATAGGACCCGAGAGCCCCCCACGGGGGGCTGTTTTAGAGTGTGCAGCATTCAGCGTGTCGTAGAAAGCATTTTTCATAAAGAAATACGATTATTGCTCCAGACATATTAAATATCGAATTAACGGGAAAAGTCCGAGCAACACCATCATACCAGCCATTGTAAACACTGCAAACACAATTATACATGAACTAATATCATATCTGGAAGATATCTAGAAGATTTGCCACAATTTTGGCCAAAAATCGACGACCTATGCTCACTCTATGGCTCTCTCATCACGGAGCAGGATCGCACATGGCGGATGAACACATGCAGGAGGGGCACGATTTGACCGGAAACGCACAGCGGCGTCCAAATTACTCTTTCAAACCGTTCAAAAGTTATGGGTATGCATGCCAACATCAGCCGCAGGTCACGAGAAAAATAATTGGGTAAAAAAAACTTACGTTTTGGCGATGAAAAACGGATTTATTCGAGCCGATTTTTGCACAGCTCTGCCCGCCATGTTCTGCTGCATGTCTGTGAGTGAGATCAATGCGCTGGCGTAATGAATCACAAAATGGCAGACGATTCTGTTGGGTGGAGCAATCCATGTAGAGAGGGGGGTTCGCCCAGCATTTTGCGATTTTTAGTCAGTAAACAGACCCGGATACGATCAAACACCCCTGCATGGCTCCCGTTGGACTATCCCGCATCTAAAAATGTCTCACACGAGTAAATCGGCCTTACCAAAGTCACATAGACACACATTATGAGCCATTTATTGTTATGAATGACAGATATGACACATCATAACAGCTCAAAATTATTCAAAATGGTGTCAAACTGATTCATTAGGATTATTGAACACTCTTAGTGATAAGAAAAGTGAATATATAGTTAATATTTAGTTATATAGTATATAAAATTAGTATACAGCAATGCAACAGCTGGTTCCGAAAATCAAAATTTTGATTTTTATGACCATTTATGCTGGCCTGCTTCACTCAATCGAAGTAAAATATCTTGTGGGGACATGTAAAACGTGTTGTTCTATGACTGTGGCGTGGTTTTAGGCTTGCAGCTGCATTATTAAAAAAAAAAAAAATGTTCAATACAAGTGCTTTTTTTCAGGCGAACCTAGAAATTTTTCAATTTGAGCTGTGCCATAAGTGTATCAGTTATTAACCAGTAACATATAAACAATATTTACACAATTCAACACATCTCACAAGTGTTACCAGTATTCTAGCATCAAAATTATTAAAATAGACCTTGTAGTTAGAGCTCGGGACTCTCTTGAGTATGGCTATGCAATTTTCGAGCAGAGGCCTAAAAATAGGGGTAGGGTCCTATGAGTTAAGTGACACTCGTGGTCTTGGAGAGTGAATGACTCTGCATATTGAAAGAGACATGTATTTTCTTTAGCCATTATAAAAAAACATCATCAGCATTAACTATCGTGTTCAGAGAATTACTATTATGCCTCCACCTACGCTCTGCCCACAAAAATACGTCATCATGTTTCCCAATAGAAAATGGGTAATACACATACCTGCAGATACATATATGAAATAAACATGACCTACTGTACAAAGCAGTTACTCACCAAACTGAGGAAAACTAGACAGAGCTGGATAACATCAGTGTAGGCCACTGAATAAAGGCCTCCTAACAAAGTGTAGATGATGGCAACAGCTGATGAGATCCAAACACAGTAGGCATAGGGCAAGTCCAGTATTACAGTCATAGTTGCTCCTGTTACGCAAACACAGAAATTGAAATGCTTTAATTGTGTCCTCTAATGAAAAATGTGTGGTTTTACTAGGTATGTATATATGTTTACCCAAGCCAAGCAGAGTGGATGAGACCCACAGCACATCCACCAGTATCGAAGGCAGGACCAGAGCACCACTGAGTACATTGCCATACTTTATCTGGAATGGGTCCATCATGGTGACATACTTCTTATTGCTCATTGGCTTGGCAAAGAAAAGTCCACCTTGTGCAGTGGATGAGATATTAAGCATTACATTGTATGTATTCACCCTCTGAATAATTTATTAAAAACTTTACTTTGTTGATGTTGTAGGCACTGTGCAATGCAAGCTGCTGCTATCCAGTACATCAAGCTCCACAAAATTAATTCCTGACTGTTTAAAGCATTGTACATTTACCGTAGCGGTGTAATAAAATATTCATAAAACAGATCAAATAAGCCACACGGAAGTTTATGATAAGTTTATGTCTGACATTATCAAGATCAGTACAGCCTTCTTCCTCTATAGTATACGGCTTGTCATACCTATTATGAAGGACACCGTGTAATGTATAGGCATAAGAGCCCAGATTAAGCCCATTTTAGGAGTACACCGCCTCAGCCACACCCAGGATAAAACCACCTCCGACCCATGTAGCTACAGAAGAATGACACAGACACTTCAATTAGAATATATTGTACTTTTGAACAGTATGTGCACAGTGAGTATTGCAAGGGTGAGTAGACAGAAGCCTAAATATTTTCTTTCTTTGCAAAACACCCATGTCTTGCTAGCAAAAAACAAAACAAATAACTAATAAAAAGAGCTGATACTAACATGAGTTTCTAAGCGCCACAGAACAACTTACCAGTCATGGTGAAAATCCCGACCATCAAGCCGATATTTCTGTCTCCAAGGAGCGCCACTTCAATCCTGCTTCCATGGCTCTTCCTCTCAGCCTTCCTGGACTTACGGGCAGCCCACAACCCTGTCCCTAGAATAAGGATATAGAACAGCACCACTGCAATTACACCAGGGATGTGCAAAGCCATGGTGCTCAAGAACTTCAGAGCACCTTGACAGGAAGATAGACCTAATAGATAACAAATACAGATTCTGAACATGGACCAAAAGCATGCAAGTACCAAGGTGACAGACCACCCCTTCTTTTGATTTCATCCGAGTTTGACATATAGCTTTGGCAAGTAAAAAGACCAAGTTAAAATAAAGATGTACTTGTCACAGGAAAGGATTGAAAATTAACTTGAATAGTATTTAATTTGGAATGCGACCAACCATGACTTACAACACACAATTCCTAGAACTTCTAGCTTTTGGAAACACCCCCTTAAATAAAGTCCAGGCAACCCACCTCGCTATTGGCAGTTTCACATTCGTTTTTTTAGGTGAGTTCAGGTAGTTTTTAGTTTATTTTCTACCAGTAAAAACAACCACTTCTATTGGCTCTACAACAATTTGCTTTACACCACCCTTACTTCTAAACTTGTCCTCTCCTTCTTTTACTAGACTACATACTTGACTCATACTACTTCTGTCATCTCTCGTATTTAAAATGATACTATATGTTTTAATGACAGCTTAATATAATCTTAGGGTCTGCCTCTCTTTGCTGCATTATCTCTCTGCTTAAACTTTGTTTTACTAGTCTTTGCATTTCGGATTTTGCTAATAGGGCAAAGGCGAAAGAACAATGACACAGTATGTTGAAATAGAGCCGGTCTGAATGCTGAATTACACAACACATGAATCAGGGGCAGTGAACGAGAGCAGTGGGTGAAGTGCCAAAACCACATGTATCAATCATTGCATTAGAGATGTACTGTGGTTGGTGTTTGTGGAAGTGGATATGGAATTAAAAAATGGGCAAAGCCTTGCACAACATGGCACACTGAAACCACTTATATGAGAGAGTCAATAGTATTAGAATCACTGTGATAAACCTGTAACTGTTTATGAACCAGTCTCAATTTAATACTGATGCTCAGCGAGAGAAGATTGTCTATTTCTATATAGTTATTCTTAATGTTTGCCATCGGTGCCACCGGAGTGGATTCCAAGCGTTAAATCATGCAGGTTCACTAAAAAGTCCTTCAGCTCAAGCTCCAGCAGGGCCTCCTGCAGCGACCAGCTCACCGCAGACAGACCCAGATCCAGCTTTGATGCTGCCTATGACCTGCAGTCGGAAACGCTGGCAGGACGACGTATCCTCCATCAGCCAGGAGCAGAGCATCTCTTCGCTGCCCCTCCGGTCCCTGCTGGGCGCTAACACTGACTCCACACTGCTTTAGGCCCAGGCTGTATTGCTGCGCCCACTGGAGAGAAGGGAGGCACAGAACAACCAGAACCACCAATCTGCCCCTGCATACATTATCCCAAGGAAATACAACAATATCGACAGAATGATTGAATAACAATCGTGGTAGTTAATAAGTTCATTGAGGAGTTAACTTGTGTTTCTATCTTTAGAAAACAAACGTTTCTTAAGATGATACCTAACCTGTTAGCACGAGGAGCAGCTTTGTTTCTAAGCCCCACAGAACAACATTCAATAATGAATTCAAAAGTAGTGTATTGCGCACTTTTATTTTAAAAGTACTGCTATATCAACAAAAGTGCAATAACGTTTGGTTTGCAAACACTTTAAACAAATAAGGTGCTTTTTAACAGCAGTATTCCCTTTACACAGTAGCAGTTAAAATACAGTTATAATGATTCTGATAATAGATATTCAGCCGGTGTTCACAACTTTATCTTCATGTGTGTAAGAGATGCAATTTGAAATCTGAAACCAAGTTTTTTCCTTTTTTTTTAATGTTTGATTAATTCTCAGTAGCGATAACTAAATGATATGCTTATTATACATATTCCAAACAAAAACACTTAAATTCAAAAAAAATAATTTAAATGAATCATTTATTTTTTGGTATTTTGGTCAGACACATGCTGATTACCGTAATGTGTGTGGTATTTGTTAAAAATGTACATTGGTACATAGAGGGTAATAAGAAGCTGTACATGGAGGGACTTAGGACCCAGGGGAATGTAGGTGAAGGAAACAGGAAGAGACGCCACACAAACAGCTGTTCACTGCTTGCTGCCAGCCGACCAGCAATAAGAAGCTGTACATGGAGGGACTTAGGACCCATGCTGCAGGGCACTGTTGCGATTTCTTAAAGAAACGGGATTAGACCGTAGGATTAGTTGTTAGTAGGTGTTGTTTAGGTTTATTTATTTATTTATATATATATTATTTTATTTTATTAGCAGAGCAGTGATGAAACTTTTACCCTGAAACTGCATACTCCGGTACAGTAGGTGGCGGTATGCACCTATTCAAGTTGGTTGCGATCCGCCAATCAAATTTAAAGAAGAAGAAGAAGACTTAGGACCCAGGGGAGTGTAGGTGAAGGAAACGGGAAGAGACGCCACACAAACAGCTGTTCACCACTCGATGCCGGCCGACCGGCTGGTTCTGGTGTTAAAAATATCCGCTTAATAATAATTTAAAAAAAACTGCGTTATTATCGCGTTAACTCGCCCAGCACTAATAAAAAGTAACGTAAACTATCCAGTTCTATTTGCTACAGCGGCACCAACAATAATACGATTTGGAAACGCTAGTGGGGGAAAAGCTGAAAAGATGTCTATTGCCACTTTAAGCAACTATGAGCTATAAAGACTTTCAAATTGTTGTACAGACTGGTTTTGAAAAGGTTTGGTCCGCCAACTCCTCAAAAACTATCTGGGTCTTTTTGGCTTGCTAGATATTCCACACTTATCGCCTTGTTTAATTTTCTGCCATATATGAGAGGGTTACTGGCTAATAGCTGCAAAAAGCAGCAGACTAAGGGGTTGATCCTCAATAGCACCAGTAACCCTTTCATTACAAGTTAATTCATATTTCAATAACTTGTTCCCTAGAACGTATCGTTTAACGGCCGATGACGCCATTGATCCAGACCTCCTTCTGTCTGACTGCCAGCGTTATGTTAGCGGGTGACTCATTTCAGTAGCATGGTGAGGAGGCTGCTTGCGAAGATTCCAGCGACAAGAATAATGACCATAAGCAGCAATGTGAGGCCACGTCGTAAAACCAGCTGTGGTATTGACAGAATATTTCCCACTGTAGTGGTAGCGGATATATTTTGTATATCCATATGCACCTCCTCATATGTGTTGCCCCCCTCAGCACTCTCCACACTAGATGCAGTAGCGTGGTTCTGAGTCGAGTCTAGAGGATTGAGGGAGAACCTTTAGTATTCACAAAATAGCATCACACAAGGATGTTTCAGTGAGTGTGCATTGCAGCTTACCTGTATTTTCCATCACGACCATCTCTTTTTCTTCTTTGATCTGGATTCCTGCTCTTACAAGAGCCTGATTAGAGACATTCAAGACAATTAGTAAAGGGACAGATCACCCATACATCAATTTACATACCTTTCCTTTTACATGTAGTGCTATTTATGTCTGCCTTCTCACTAATATAATGGGACTATGTGGCACTTGACTTGTGGTGCTCAAAGTGCAAGAAAATACATTTGAGAAACTCAACAGCAATGTCTCATGACCTGGTTATTAAAGATAATCCAAAGACCGCAATGTGAACAGTTTCATGTAGGAACTAAGGTTGAAGGAAAATAATGCCATCCAGGCAGACATCTCAACGGACGATATCTCCAAAACTAGGCAACTTACACCAAAACAATCTAGGTTGATAAATAGCACTACAGGTAAGAGGGAAAATAGGCATTTTTGATTTTGAACTGATTTTAAACTTCAAACACATAAAGACAAATTAAAAAGTCTGATTTTGATTGGTTAAGGGATGTAGACACGCACCTCTTCAGCTGCCTTCTTCCAATCGAGTTTGAACACAAACATGATGAAGAAAATCGACTGCATCAACACACAAACGGTGAGCCCTATCCATAGTCCTTTTACAGAGATGAGAGCAGCGTTTGAATGGCTTTCCAGAACACTTCTTGACATGCAGGAAATTTGACAACATGCAGCACCAATTTAAGAACACTGAATTACTGGTCTGGTCTTACCTACAATGCCCATGTTTGCTGCAAACATTAGGGACACACCAATAGGGAAAATTTAAGAACACTGAATTACTGGTCTGGTCTTACCTACAATGCCCATGTTTGCTGCAAACATTAGGGACACACCAATAGGGAAACCAATGAAGTAGTATCCCACCAGGTTACACAGAGCACCAATCAATTGTTTTCCTGCTCCTCTGAGAACACCTCCAGCCACACCCTGTCCACGTCAAACAGAGATTTGGTCAAGTCACATTGTGTATAGTTCAATACAGAGTCTGAAATCCTGATTACTTGGATGAAATTGTTTCTTACCGCAACAGCATCAGCAAGATGCATGAAGCCAAATATGAGCATGACATCAGAAACCCTCTTCAAAAGGTCTCTAAAATAAATGAAGGCAGAGATTTTTGATCGACACTACATGTTTTGGCAAGGAAATGGACATGAGAGCAGTCATGAGTTATTTAGTGTATTTAGTTTTAAACAAACCAAACTCAGACCTCTTAAAGTGGACCAACAGAAAAGGGACTCAGTTCCATTTGCGTTAACATCCTCACTTTATTTGAAAGAGGACTCAGTTCCATTTCTTGTCCACAAAACTGCATTTATTCAAGTTTCTTGCCAAAAACTTAATTTTACAAGATTGCAATTTAACACGTCATGATGAAGTTATACCTTTCGCTCAATATTTTTTACTGAATAGACCCTGAATACATCACATTGTAACTCAATCCAACTTCCGTCAATGTTGTTAGCGGTTAGCTCCGTTACTCAGCCTAGCTGGACTGTGTTGCCCACTGGCAGCTCCTGCCAATTTATTGTTAGATCCGGGGGTTCTCTGGCCCGATACGGGGCTACCTACTGACTCAGCTCTCTATTAAAAGATTGGGGAGCTGGTGTTCTGTCGAGGGAACTCGCCTGGCTTCTGCTAACAACCGTTACTCCTGACGTCTACCCTGCTTCCACCGGTAACGTGCACTCGGCCGAGGGGCCACCCTGGCCAGGCGCTTCTACCTAGTCGCGTCAGTTATGGCAGCTTTCCTCTTTTGGATCCGGGCTCTTGGTAAATTGCCAGGTTAGGTTTTAACGGCTAGGATTATAACTAAAACCGTAAGGGACTGTTAAGTGGACCGGTCACTAGGATAACCATTAAGAACTCTTGTTGTTAACAAACAATAGATTTAACCTTTTACTGCCACGAGGAACTTCTACTACTTCAGCAAATGAATTCTCTTGAGAAATTTACTTTAAATGCAGATTAGATATTTATTGCAGGTTATATTAGCAGGGGCACAGCTACAGCTCACATAATATAATACTATACTTGATTCGATCAGGTTACAATTTCTTCTTAGGTTATACTCATTCATTTTCGATGCCGAGGCGGCTTGGTGGAGCTGGATTCACGATGTAGTAAAAAGTCCTTTTGGGGTTTTTAGGAGCGAAGGCCAGGCCTGACCTTCGGCTCCTCCTGCGCGGCCAACAAAGTCCGTTCAGCGATCCCTCAGGCTCAGTACAAAGTCTTTATGGCGGCTGCGTCCATCTGTTGTCCGGTTGTTAAGTCAAACAGGGGGGAGAGGAAAATCTCCGTCTTTCAATCTTTGTCCAGGAACGGCTGTCTTCTTTCCATGAACAGAGACGAAGTCCTCCGATGCGGCTGTCGAGGTCCAGTGTTTCCTCCGTGGAGCACTTGGGTGGCTCCCGCGTTGAATCCCCCCTTGCTATTTGCAAGTCTCTCTTTTTATAACACTTTGAGCTCTCTCTCCCCCCTCCTCCCCAACTCGGCATGTGATTAACATGACATCATTGATTATGTGTATGTGCTGCGAACAACACCCATCTTTCTGTGTGTGTGTGTGTGTGTGTGTGTGTGCTAGACACACCTAACTTCCCTTGGTGGATGTTCTCACTTCCTCAATGTCCGAGCATGTTTCAGGTTACACCTGTGTATGTGTTCGGACAACACCCCAACATCTGTTATGATCTCAGCCTTTAAGGCCCCCACCCTGCTTACATCAGCTCTTTCCACATACACACAGACTTCACTTTACTCAGTTACACATACATCATTATTATCAGTTTTACATTTGTTAAATCACTTCATTATTCTTATGTTATACATACTTGCTTTAACATGATTATTAGATTTCATCCTTTACTCATTATATGCTTTGTGTCCCTTTAGCCTACTTTCATATCGAACTGTATTCCTTCATTTAAGGCAGCTTTCCTGGGATCTCCACCCTCTTTTTTGACACCCCCTCCTTGAGGTCTCAGGCTGCCTCGCAGTGCTGGTTGTCTCCCTGCAGAGAGTCGTCGCCGCCCGGGGCAGTGATAATAAGCACGTCGTCATCTGGTGAGGATGGTCCTGATCCCCGCTCCCAGCTGTCGATCACCAGTAGCCCTTCTAACCTGGGTGGCTGTAATCCCAGGAGTCCGTCCTCATCATCTGCCTCCTTCAGCTGCTCATCCATGTCCCGCGTCAGGGCCAACACGTTTTGGTCCAGGATGGTGTTTGGAGAGAGGGAACCCAGGGTAGGGACAGGGCTGCAGAAGGTCTCTTCTTCAGACTCACAATATCCTGCCAGCCCTTCAGGGATAACTTCCACCAGCTCCCCCCATTCTTCATCGTACCCCCACATTCCCATCAGGTTTGGTATTATTCCTGCGGTCTCCGTCTGTACACCCACGTCACGGTATTCCACATATGCCTCGCTTGCAGCGTCGTTGATGACCTCGGGAGGTGGAGATGGTGATCGATAGAGCACCGGCGGCAAGCGCAGGCCAATGATGACAAACCGGCTATCGACAAGATGGGTGGTAGATACCCGGGCGCCATCAGGAAACTCCCACAATTTGGAATATACCGGACAGTACATACCATTGCTGTAGAATTGGATCTGGGGTACTGCTCCTCCAGCGGAACTCCATATTACTTTTGCCTTCATTTCTATTTCCATACAGTCGACTACATTCATTGCAGGTGTAAAAGGGGTACTTCCTTTGCAGAAGATGCCGCTGGCTGCTCCTATTGGGAAATGCCCCAGGTAGCACTGGGTGCACCATAACGCTGGGGTTACCTCCCACAGGTGCATTGTCTGCTCCGTGAGGATCCCACAGCAGATACAGCCGGCACCCTCCTGAAATGAATTTAACACAAAGACTTCATTAATATTGCTATTTTAAGGGTTTAGGCATAGCAAGCTTAGCAGGGGGTGGTCTTATTTTCTTTCTTAAGATCCCCCATTTGCATTGGACTGCGTCATGGAGCGCCTCATAGCCAGGCGACTCGGCCATGGAGATCTTAACGCCATAGGAGGTGTTTGTCCTGGGCTCTCGGGTCCGTTCCTCCGGGGAAAAAGTGCCTCATACATCATGAGCCATGCTGCTATAGCGATCGATGATTCAGAACCCGCCCAGTAGATGGCGACAGTTGCTCCCCAACCTAGGCCCCAAAAAGTAATGGTGAAGATCTTGTGGAGCCAACGCCCTCTTCCTCTTTGTTGCAAAGCCATGGTCATGACCATGAGGTATGCCAGCGCAGCAACTGCCATTACTGCCTCGATGATTGCTGACACCAGTTTCAATGGTTTGTAGAAAATTGCAGCGATGTCGAATCCCAACCAGATGACCACCATTCCTCCCTTCACTAGACCGAAGCGTGTGGTGTCGATGTTGACTCTTCCCAAGAGGTAAGTCGCGAACCAGGAAAGGGGTGATCCACATTGACCCTCGATAGACGTTTTTGATCGCCGTCTTCAGACACCCCGCAACCAGGGTCAGCATTCTTAGTGGCTGGGATATGGACCAGTCGCCCATGCAGCAGTAGAAGAACCATATGATTTCAAGGACCCAAAGTCCAGCTCGGTTAATCTAATTACTGATACTGGTTCTGCGGCTGAGGAGTTCTGGACTGCTTCGGTCATACTCACTCCGAATGTGGTCAGGCTGGGGCCCGAGGTTGTGGTGATATCAGTTGTCATTCTGGCTGTATGTGTTGAATTTCTTTCTTCTTTTTAGGTTGAGGCTCTTGGTTGAGGACCCGGGTCTGCAATGGCTGTGGCGCTCCAGTAGTCCACCCTTTATAGGTGGGTATGGCCCTCCCTTTCCCGTAGGAGGGGCCTCTCCTCTACTTCCCTTTTCTTCCTCGAGTTCCTCTTGAAGCACGAGGACACAGTGGCTGCAACCCCACCCTTAATGGTGGCGCATGCTATCATGCCCAGAATCACAATTCCAACTATCATCAACAAATATGGCCAAAGCCAGGATACTAACGACCCCATCCAGTTCCTTACGACCGAGAGTCCTTCTCCAATCTTCCCTGCCATCTCCTCGACTGCCACCGTGGCTGTCCCGACAATGGTGGCTCCTGTCAACTCGATCCAGGTACACTCATGTTCACGTCGGCCGCTCCCGCAGCTCAGCCAGTGTTCTTCTGGTGAATAGCATGTTCCGTTCCCATATAGGCGATTAGGCCCTATCCACTCAAATCCTTTGTCTTCCTTTCCTTCACACAGGCTCTTCCTGAAGGCGTGACCTTCAGCCAGAAAAACTGTAGGGTCCGTTACTTGCGGGATGATCTGTCCGTTCACGTTCTTTCTGTCTTTCATACGATGGCCCAGGATTAAGTTGGTACAACTGCTTGTTAGTGGTCCTGATATTCTCCATTTCTTGTCCTTCCCTTTCACCCAGGTTACTTCTTGCCCATGGATTTCATACTCATCTCCATAGTGTCCTTGGCAATGGTCCTGGCACGGCTTCACAATGCCTCCCGGCCAGGCTGATGTTGCAAGTAGTGTTTCCTCGGTTACACTCCATCTTCCAGGGTCGTGGGCCTACATATGGTTCGGGTTTGCTCCATACTCCGGGCCAGATGTCTCTGTCTTTTGAGTACACTGTGGCAATGTACTGACACTTCACCCAGTAATTTGTTGTCTGAGTTAGGCACGGCACAACCCATTCCAACACTTCGTCCTTCTGTAGGCCCCACCAGGTTGAGCTACCGTCTCTGGTATGGCCCTCTTTCCAAGCTTGTAGGGTCCCTTTGATTGTTTGATTTTCATTCAGTCCTGTACAGTCATATAGCCATGTCCCCCAAACCCGGTGCCACTCTTGCCAAAGTGTGCATCGCGGTGAGGCTCCCTCGGCTAGATACTCTGTACCATTCAGAGCAGCAAACATTCTGTTGGTCACACATGTGTCGATTTTTTGGAAATCCCCAAGTGGGACTGTCATCAAATCCTCCGGTTTCGGCAGTTTCTGTACATACATGTCTGTCTTCCCAGGTCCTACAAGGCATTGGCTGGCTCTGGAGTATCCCTGGCGGAAGGACCCCCTGAAATGCACCAGCGAGGTCACCCATATCCAGGGCAGGGTGTTGTTGAGCCATTCCTCGTGCGAGGCATTGGGTTGGGGTAGATAGATGTACTTTTGAGCCTGATACTGTGGTTTAGTTGCCGGAGTTATTACAAAGTAATTCTGGGTCTCACAATAATAGAACACGTTCCAGAAACACTTATTAAGTTTGGGGAGTTTGTTCTTCGTGCACTCCCTCGCCCACCTCCTGCTCATATTTCTACGATAACTGGAGGGTTGTGGACTGAAGTTCGGTTGCGGGCTCCATTCCCCGTCCTCTTGAGCTGTAGGTCTTACTCCTTCCTCCTCTTCCTGCTGTGTGTTATTGTCGGCCTGGTTCGTGATGTTGTGCGGCCGGTTGGTCATGGAGTTATCCGGTGGCCTTACCCTAGGCCGCCTGGGTGCACGTCGTGGTGGTGTGGCCTCACAGGTGAGATTGTAGTGTCCCCAGAACTCCCCTCCTCCTGGCAAAATAGTTAAGCACGTATCATTGCGGTGGCTCACTGCATATGTTACCTCGGGTT